AGGGAGTTATTGATTTAATCAGCATGGCCAATGGGGGGAGCAGGCTCATCCGTTCAACCCGACTGACTGTACGTTCTATGGAATTGGGAAAAGATACAGATTCTGTAGAATTTAGACAAGAAGTATGTTTAATAATCTTTTAAACGATTGTTCATATAAATAAAGCGTATTATCATAAATCTATTATTTTGATCATCTGAGATTAAAAATATTCGATCTGTACTTGTCGTAAAGCTTTAGATGTCGAGAGGATTTTTTATGAGCGCAGGCCGGGAAGCTCGAGGCAATTAATTCGCTATTTCTTCTTGTCCTGGCACCGTATGAGTTAATGCGCGATTGTTACGCGTTACGTTCATCTTTGATTATATGGTTCGAACGTATAAAGCCCATAATGGAATGTTCCATTGTTCCGCTATTGTTGTACACGAATGATACCGTGGAAAGGAAAAGAGGCTGATATAATCCTAAAAGTAATCTTTGTACGAAGTAATAAACGCTTTCCCGTCGATTTCACATCGCGAATCGTTCAGGAAATTCGTAAAAGCTACTGTTTCTAAAATGCATCTTATTCTTTGATATAATTGCATTATGTCCATTATTAAATTATAGTCTTTTATGACATGTCAATGTTTTTCATAAAATGAATTAACCAAACAAATGAACTAACATTTGTACGAAATACAAACAGCTTTTCTTTTATACATACATTATTGACCATTCTTATACCGAATGACGAATTGTATGAATCATTCAGTTCTAGTGATAAGAGTGATTACATTTTACTGTGTAAGGAATTTCAATAATAACTTTCGAAATGCTTCTGAGGAAATAGTTTATTCATAGATAAGCCGGTCATACAATTGTTCTTGCTTTCCCTCTTTTCTGAAGAAAATCTTCTACGTTGCAAAATCCTTGGGATCTGTTATTATGAAAGGGTTTCGCTGGAAATCGAGGCTAGTCCTCATTATGAAGATGTTTAGAATTTGAAGGCAACTCTGGTTGCCGTGAGTCACTGCGCTTATTGAAACGATTGTTCTCCGCATGCATATTGCATGTAATCCCTTGTAACTAGAACATTATTTGAAATAAAAGCAGAGTACAAGTTTCGTCGAGCCCCATCTGGAATTTGATGTAAATGTATGACATAACCGATGCGCTGACACAACGGATTTAACCGAAATGCGTGGGCGGCCGCGTTAAGCAACCGCGAAACAAGTGCACGGACGCAAGTGCACGCAGAGTACGACCACGCCACGTCGCGTCTCGTCGAGCCACGCCGCTTTTCGCCGGTGCACTCTCCGCTGCGTTGCATTGCGGCAAGTCGACGACCGACCTTGCGACGTTTCCTGCACACTCCGCTGCGCCGGTTGCGTACACCACCGCTACCAGAACATCGTTTACTGTTATGCATTCGATGAAATATCGATCCGGCGTTGAGTAACTATAAACCAGGAATGCTGGGGGACATTTATCAATCAAAATCGTGTATTGAATTAATTGATTACAATCGTGTTTAAAAATACTGAGACTTGGATTGTTTGAGTCATTTCAGTGGTGAATATTTGCTCCAGTATGGATATTAATAAAATTGTTTTTGAATCAATTTACTATAGAATCGATTCTTATTTTCCACACGACATGTGTTATCCTTACTTCGTGAAACGTCGTGAAAGATTTCCGAGAAATGATTGCGGGACTTGCATCACAATATTGTCACGGAATTTATTCTTGCAACGGTATATCTGATATGGTCTCGGCTCGACGGTTGCATTGTTGCAAGGGAGAAATTATTACACGGCCTGTATCGTGTACTTCATGGTGTTCGAATGGAAATACAGTCTGTGATCCCACGGTTACCAAGGAGCCGGCCAGAGGAAACCCCAACCCCCTTTGATTTCAAGTCAGACCGAAAGTGACAAAATGAATTTGACACAACTCCGATTTCGATCAATGAGTTGATTGTAAAATAGTTTGAATTATATTGTGTTGGCATGGAAGTAATTTCGGTTATCAGAAATTCATAGCGCTATAAAAATTGAGATTACTTTCTTATCAAATAAAATAAAAGACAGGGTCATGACTTATGATCGGTCAATGATTCGAATAGAGATTCGGTCGACTGTCAGCCGGAAAATTGAATCGATCATGAACTTGCCGCAGGGTCGGGGTCATCGAAGGTCCGGCCTTGACCCGCGGAAGAGTCACGTAACGACAGGCTGACCGTAGCCAGAGGAAGAAGGAAGCGGCGACGATGGCATGCGGCGACGATGGCTGTGCGACGACCTCGGTAGACACGAGGGGGAAAGTGTAACCGATCCCGAGAGCTCGAAATCGAAAGTAATTTCCTTCCATCCCGCTCTTTCTCTCCTTTCTCCGTTCCGCGTTGCCCACGACGATCATTCTTTCTCCCAGGCCAGTGAATTCAGGTCACGTTCAACTCGTAGACACTGTCCTCTCCTCTCCCATCGCTTTCTCCCAGCCGTTTTCCTCGTCGTCGGAAATCATTGCAAAAAGAATCGGCGAATCTCCGATAAGAACCCTGGTTGATAAGAATTTGTACTCTAAACCTTGTATCTCCGCAATTTGCAGCGAATTCAATCTTTAGACTTGGATTTTGTCTTAAAAGTTGCGGTGATATTGATTGATATATGAAATTTGCTGCGTTTGTTGCGACACCCCTAAACGATTATTGCTTTCGTATCGCTCCATACGCGAACAGGTCTTGAACACGAGTTTCCACATCGATTTCATCGGCTCGGGCGAGCAACGCGTCACGACTACCGCGGCCGGGCACGGCCGCGTTATTATGTCAATGTCAATGGCACCGATCCGCGCGCGGAAACGCGACCGAGACAGCCGCCGGTGTTGGTAAGAGTTACGTGCGGTGTCCGCGGACGACGACGCACGGTTCACTGAACCGAATTCCCCCGAGTCGGTGAAGGAACTGGAGGTAAGCAAGGTGAACCCAGCTGGAAACACTGTGTCTCGGGTGTCCCCGGTCTGCTCCAGAGGGGACCAACGACTGCTTTACGACGTTGACGTCAAGCGGGATGAACTTCCTCCACCAGAGAACGCGACATCGCTTTTTCTACTAACGAAATCGAGACTGGCTCGAGGTGTCGAGTGAATAACACCGATTTATAAACGACGATCAAATTGATTATCGATAACTACTTTTAAATCATTAGGAATGGGTCTTCTGATGCATTTCAAGCATCAATAAGCCAGATTTTCCCAATATGAAATCTAATAAGAAATATAAATGAATTCGACTGTCCAAAATTAATACGATTAGAGTCGTTCAACTTGAAGCACACGAGTGGTTTGAGTAGATAAATGTTTATACGTCTGAAACTTCAAACGAGATTACGGAACATGCTGAATTTCGTTGCTTCGGAGAAAGAACCAACTCGGGGAAAACCTAAATTAGAAAGAAGTACCGAAAGCTACAGGGCAAACAAACTGAACGCTCGGTGACGACATTCGATTCTTCGGAAACTGGCCTTCGTGAACTGAAAATTTTCTGGGAATAAAGATGAGTTTCGATTCGCGGAACTTTGCCTGCCCGATGTGTCCACGAGCTGACTCAGCAGATTTGATACCCGACGGCAAAACTGCGTTCCCGTATGTACGGATATCCACGAAACGAATCGGCCGGATAGACCTTAACATAATTTCAACGGCGTCCTTACGTGCCGGATACGCGATCCATGAATCACGCGAACGAGCCTATCGTAACGGTGATGCAATTAAATGTTCGAATATTAGAAAGCTACGATTTAATCTCATTAAGCCCCAAGTACCGAAATGAAACCAATTTTATACATATAATTACTCATTATAAAAGTGCGCAGGAAAGGGCGAACATTAAACATTTAATTGCTAACTTTTCCTAATGCATGAAATGTATCTGTGCCTTTGGAATCTGTAAAACGTGAAACGCACTATGAACAAGCTTACAATTATAATAAAAAGAATGTAGAAAAAATTATTAAAATCTACAATTCTTTGTAATCTAGTTTTATCTTAACCAGCACTACTTATTTCTTTTATTTTAAAAGAGCAATTCACAGAACGAACGAACATAGTGTATGAGTATTGAAGATTCATTTTCCACTGGAAAACTATTCAATTCACTAAAAGCATATTCTTCGCATTCTGTAGAGTAAAGATTCAATCTCTCGAGTAGCTTGTTATATATTTCATTGTAAAAATTGTAATGTTAGAACGTAGAACTAAGATGAACAAGTGGAGCACCGAAAAATTCTCCTCCCTCGCGAGAAACGCTCGCATCGGAGTGCGGAGCGCGAATGTACAACGGGAGGCGCGCTCCGTGTATATCCTGCGGCTGAGCGCAGTGCGCAACGCTGTCCGCGCACCGCAATTGTATGCCGGCTCCGCGTATCTGTCTCTTCCTCGTCCTCCTCGCTCTGCGATCCTCGAGGACTCGCACGACAGATACCTGAAACAATATGAAATTCATGCTAAAATGTGAAACGACTCAATATGTAAGAGGAAGGACCAAGTTTGGAACGGCTTAATAGGGAACCATGAAATGAACAAGAGATCAAAGAAGAATTATCTCGTGCAATATCATCGTACTGTTGCAGCTGACGTACGAAAATCAAACAGAAAATCGACTAAGGGACGAAATCCAAGAGAGTCAAGACGAGGGAGACATAGGAAGAGGGAGAGAAACGGAGCTACGTGGAGTCAGTATGGAAAGAGGGAAGCAGGAGGAGAAAGAGAAGAGAAACAGGGATCGAAAACGAGAGAAGAAGAGACGATGGTCCGGTGTAGCCGGCGGGCACACATCGGGTTCCTCTCCCTCGCCAATCGGCTGGCGCGGCGTGGGGCGGGTTTGTGGTAGAGGGGCCAGCACAGGCGGTGGTGGCGGGTGGCTAGCTGCGGCGGTGGCGGCGGCGGTGGCGGCGGCGCGGCTGCCAAGGTATTTAAGGTACCGTGAACCGGCGGCGCACGAGTAGTTCACTTCTGTTCGGTGCGGTGTCGCGGTGATTTTTAGGGGACAGAACAGAAAAAGGGAAGAGAGAGAGAGAAAGAGAGAGAGAGAGAGATAACGGGGGTACCCGGGTGAACCACGGGAGAGAGAAAAGAATTACGCGCTCCCGGGGCCTCGAGCAACACGCTCGAGAGGGTGCTAGGGAACAATAATTGTATCGGTATCTCCTCGGTGCGCGTACGGACATTCGAGTACACGTAGTAGTTTCGATCGGTAGTTTAGAGGTCCGCGATTCACACGTTGCTACTTTGAACACAGTGTCCGAGGTTGAAAGTTCCGCGGGAAGAGTCCGAGTCAAATCGGCCGCGCTATCATCCGGGAGAACGCGTCAGGATCGTCAGGGTCGTCTGTCGTCGACGACTGTCCTGAATAGGTAAGTCCCATCTAAAAACGTGCGCGGATGTATTATTGGTGCAATGATAAAGGATGGAATGCATTTCTGTACACTCGATATCCGATACGAGTAATTTACGCCAATTTATGCTCTGCCTTTGGTGATACCAAGTGATGTCAAGATCAGTGATTTTGTTGCACTGTGCTCTCAACTGATACTCCTCGCCGTCGTTCTCGTCGTCGTCGTCGTCGTCGTCGTCCGATGTGGATATTTAATGAACTGTGAAAAAAAGTAACATGTGCTTCGACGCAAGGGATACACTAGTTGATCCTCGAAGTGTCCACACCGAAACGTATGGTGCAAGGAGACATGAAATGATCCCTCTTTATTCCTCCTAAAGCCTCGCACGCGAGACTTGACCAATGAAACGGGTATGAACGGTGCGACGAGTGACCGGCTTTGGTTTCAAACGCGATCGTACGAGTCGAGTCAGTGAGTCCTCGAAACGGGATCGATAAATCCGCGTCGAGTGCGAGGATCGTCGCCGCTAGCAACGTCGTGTTCGATCGAAATACACCTGTTACGTGCTGTACCTACCGGTTCGACTACGGGATTGCGAACACGAACGTAATACCGAAAATACCGGTTCCGTGGATATCTCGCGTACTTCCCAGTTCTACCCAGTTTCTTCACAAAAATCCTGCAAACCGTATTCATCACTGGGAAACGAAATTTATTAATTAGAAATAATAATCTTCACCGTTTTTACCACTCGCGATTCAATCATTCGTGAATTTTTCCTTTTCCTCGACGAGAGAACGAAATCGTTTTTCCGACACGAGTGTCGCGAGGCATGGACCGGTCGGGCCACGGGAACGAAGTCAAAAGAGGGCCCGGGGCCTAAATAATTCAACGCGACGCGGTACAATAGGTATGCGTGCCGACTTGCAGCAGCGAAGGCTAGTCGGACGTGCACGAACACCTCGTACAATTAAGAAACAGTGTCTGAATACCGAGACAAACACCGCCGATATGTGAATACCAAGGAGGAAGAGGAGGCCAGCTGGCGAATCTCGGCAACCTGTAACATCCCGCGTGTTCGTTTCGACTCCCAGAAAAAGTTTCTGGACGTCTGCGCGCGTACCGTCGAGCTACAAAAACTGCGAATTCGAGGATGAAACTGGGGGATCGAGCAGCTCGATTTCGATCCTAACAAAAGGTCGAAACGGTATCGATTTTTCTCGCGGCAGGTCCGGAATATAAAACAGGGTTCTCAAAAGGTTGGGACGCGCGCCGGTATAATGAGTCAGAAGGAATTCCAGGGCTCGGAATAATGGATCGTTCCAGCGAGCGACACGAAACGGTTGGGACGAAAAATGTAAACTAGGAGAATCTATACGGGACTGACCGTCCTCCTGTGTTCCCGACGCGTCGCGTAAGCTCAGTTTTCTATCGTTCGGATCCCTCCGCGACGACGACGACGACACAAAAATCGACCTAAAGCACCGTTAAAATTGAGAGAGCATACTGAATTGTGTTTGAACTTTATTACAAATCAAAGCTTAATGAAAAATTTACAATACGAATACAGATTGTACCAACATTGGGCTATTCCATCCTTTTATCTAATTCTGATGAAGATAGTTATGTAAGTCTTCTTTTAAAATAAATTTTGTATATATCTAAACTTTTATTCTATGAAATTGTGTAAATAATGTTTAATTTAATTTTTATCGAAATTCTTAATAAAGATTGTAATACGGAATCACTTGTGCTCCCTTCGTCGAGAGCAGGAGAAAATTTGTCACGGTCGAGATAGCCGAACGGGAGAAGTTGCGATCGCGTTTACAACGATCCGTAATCACAGTGCGAGCGAATGCGCGCGTGAATCACGTTCGCCAGGAAACGCGGTGCTCACTAATCAACGATTCACATTGGGCGTGTAATAACAATGAACGATTAATTACGCGGTCGCGCGCTAACCAACACCGTAACGTTTTTATTCTATTTCTTGTTGTATGATTTTCCATAATAATATATTCTTTATGGGGTTCGATAACCGATTTTAGTTCCGCTAGTTTAACAAAAATGAATGTTACAAATAAGAAGTCATTGCTACTTATTTAGTTAAGAATCTAATGTCTTGCACGTAAAATAGAAAAATTTTTAAAATATCCATAGTCCTTCATGAGAAATTTTGACGAATAATCACATCTCCCAAAAACTACGTATTTTAATGAGTATTCAATTTTTTTTTAAGAAAAAAAGTTAAAATATCGCGTGCCATTCGCATGCAGGGTTTTGCCGCGTCACAATAAGGTACAATTGCTCGCGGCTGGACGGGCTAATTGCTAATTACTAAACGCTAATTACCGAGACCATCGTCTGGGCCGTCGTGCCGCTGGTCCTGATTGCCTTGTTAAAAAGCGAGCGACGAAAACGAAACAGAGTAATGGAGTGTACGTAAGAAGCCATCTCGGACACGCGATCCACGAGCAATAACCGTGGAGAATCGATCTTCCGCTCCGCGAGGAGGTTTAATTACGATCGATCGCGGAACGATGGAAGGAGAAAGAATTTTTTTACGCAACCCGATTTCGTGTCTCGGGTTCAAACTGAAATTACTCGACGAAACGAATAAACGGTCGTTCGATTGAAAAGAAAGAAAAGAAGGACTGTGTTGAGTGCGTTATCAGTCAATTACATTAGAATTATCAATTCGCTTAAGAAAGAATGCAAACATGCGCCTGAAGATTTTCCTTATTGTTTTTCCTTTCGTTTATCTCTGATGTAAATACCGCATTTTTATTTAATCTCTCGTTGACGTTTAGTTCTCGGGATGTAAACGTTGTCGCACAATTTCTTGGCACGACACGGGAAAAATTGTTCGCTCGCTGCTACTGGTGTTGAACGATTAGCCCGGTTGATTCGCGAGGAGCAAATGACGCGTGCACCCGTTGAGTTATTAATTACCGTTAAGAGAGGAAGCTAATTTCGCGTGAAGTGACCAAAAAGCTATCGGGAATTATACCAGTGAAAGTATCGGGACAGCAACGAAGTTGAGCAAGAATCGGCGCGCTCTGTTATATGCGTGCGCCATGGTATCGCATCGCGGGTCTCTTGACCGGCTGAATCACGTAGCTGGCCCATACGAAACGGTAAAAACCCGCGAGGTGCCACGAATTCAGGTCGCCCGACTCGGAACGTCGTTTACCACGAAAAAAAAACTCTCTCATCAACTGACCTTCACCCTTCAAATAAATTTCTCGAAGCTGAATGTATTTCAATGGACAAATACACTCTAATCGATTATCGAATTTTAATTGAGGTTAACGGTTACACAATCATCTGATATCTAATCCTAATCGATGACAGTATTACATATGAACGTCAATCCATAGATTTATCTTAGCACGACATGTAACACGAAATTTTCCCTTTCTACTTGTGCAACTCTCTTTGAATGTTTCATAATTATATGAAGCAATTCTGTGACAATGTATGTAGAAATTATGAAAATGATTGAAACCATTTACGAAATATAATCGATAAGCTTGATTCTAGATCAGATTGCGACTGAAACACATTTAGCATCGAATGAAGGTTATTGCCCTCTTCAATTTTAGACGTTCAATAATTTCCGCGTCGAGACGATTCTGGACTCTGTACGAAGGCGATCGATCGGTCGTTTCCGACAAACTCAAAAGTGAGATTGACGCGCAGTTTTACCTGGTGCCGTTACATCCTCGTTGAACGAACGAACGTAAGCTGGGCTACGTCTTTTGAACGACGAGATCGAGCTGTTCAAAGGCGATCGAGCATTAAAAGAGGCTTCTTCCTATCCGTCAGCAGCGCTGGCGTTTCAAAAAAGGAATAGATCCGCGGTTCATCGGACAGTGGCTATTGAAAAAGGGCTATTAAAAATATCGTGCAACCTACCAGCCCGTGAAATCCTATATTCGACGTTCCAAGCCTCGTACAAAAGGGACGATCAATTTATTCACCCCAAATCGATTGAACAACAACGGAAATTTCGAATTTCTCACAGGGATTTTCCACTCATATTATTTAATACTGTAATCATTTTTCTATAAAATTCGTTCGGTACAGAATTTCAAATACGTTGAAGAAAAGGAAATTTTATTCTAATAACCAGAACGTTTTGTATTTATTTGGAAGAATACATTTGCTATTAATACTTTATGGTCTTCCCTTCTCAAAAATAACTCGCAAATGTTATGGTCGACAATACGGACGGTCGAAAGTTTTGAAATGAGAAATCGACGCCGATCGCGTTCAAATTCCGTTCGCACGGGGCTTGCGGTACCGCCGAGTGGCTCTCTCGCGTATTCCAGGCACGCGTGCCTCGTACACGAAGTGCTAATTCAACGTCACGCCTTGTTCCCCGTAGCCGAATCTTCGAAACAGACCAGAAACCACGGGTTCTACGGTCTACGCGAACACGACTCCTACGATTATCGCGGAATTTGGATACCAGCTTACAACTCGCTCGGCTGAATGCGAATGAGACTCGTGAAATTTCGGACATTGACTCCGTTACGCTGCTTTCGTAATCGCGAAATCGATGAGTTTCGGTAAATAGGTGCGGCGCGAGTTGTGTAATGCGTCTATATTTAAAGTGTGACTCTTGCGAAAATGAAACAAATTTAATTTTCCAATTCCTCATATGCATTAAAATTATAATAAATAGAATTATAAACTTTGAAAGAAACTCAGTAGGATTCAATAAATCATGCAATTAATATCCACATTTACTAATTCAAAATTAAGTTAATCATGGGCTTGGGTTTATAATTGACACACGGCGGAATGAATTCAACGATTTCTGTTTGGCCGTCTCCGTGGTGAGACGTCAAAACAACGGAAGGACAGTTTATCGGCTTTCTGTCATTTCACACGTGAAGACGAATATTCAACATTTCTGTTAGGAACAACAAAGAAATTCAATTATAGAGTAGTCGGATTCGTGAACATTTCTGTCATATTTCCGAATTTCCAGAGAGACAAGCAGTCACGAT